TGAATTAAACTAAAAAGGCCTTCGGGAGGGCGTGAAATTGGTTTTTGATTTTCACTACAGCGAGGCATTTGGCTTTTAATTTACTAGTGCTTTGTCTTATCGTTGTGCAAGGTCGTATTGTAACTTCACACTCCAGAGTTGGTGTGTGGGCGTGTATGTCTTCTCCCCAGCGAAAAATATTTGAACCAAAAATTTTTTTACCACAAAATTACTTTCATTTGCATTTAGTTCGTTTAGTCTCGATTTCATTGATGATTTGCAAACAAATGTGTTTAACGTTAGGGTGGTTCATTTTTTTTTACTGTTTACTAAACTTATAATCAAACAGAGAGTACGAAATTGTCACTTTTACTTCAGCTTCATTATTGAAAATTTTTCTCATCAGATTGATGGAGAAACACTTAAGGGGTTATATGAGTTTCACGGCTTCTAAACACAAAAAAAAAATTGTATTGTTCATTTTAATTCTATAACATCTCTAGAATATTGTCCTAAATTCTCAAGTTGATCCCAGTAATAGTTTTGGAGGTACAGCTTTGAAAAGTTGTGCGCTCGAGGTTAGGTATATCGTCACTTAAAACTTTAAACGCGTTTTTCTCGAAATTGTGTTTTCAAAGTCGGTTGTCAAGATTTCTCAAGAACGACTCAACCGATATTAATGAAATTTTACACAGGTCTTCATGATGTTTTTTACAAGGTCTTGGATTCAATTACACATCTCTTCTCTCAATTACAATAATTTAAAACAAAACAAAGTTCGAGAAGATTTTCACCACAATTTAGGTTTTTTTAAACGTTTGCCAAAAATAAAATTTTCACTTTTTTTGTTGTTTCTCCGTCCAATACCTAGTTAATGGTTTTAGTTCAAACAGGTATTTTTTTCTTTTTACTTTTGATGATCCTGTCAGAAGTTCTCCTGGCAACGCCGAAGCCCTTTTTTCCGAGGGACTGCCGGAAATGACGTCTTAATGACCGAGTTTTGTATATTTTCCTTTGAAAATTTCACAAAATCTTTATCAAATTTGTTTTTTTCGGAATAATAAAAAGTTTGAATAAAATATCTAATTTTTTATATGAAAAAAAAATTACTGATTATAGGGCATTTTTTGCTCGACGAAACCCATGTAACCCTTTAAGATTTCGAATATAACGGATGTACCATTTGCTCGAGCTTGACCTGAACATACATTTTTACGCATTTTAACAAATCTTTATTATCACCTTCAAAATAAGCTCCTAAAGTAATACAAGCATACCAACACTTAATCCTATTTTCCATACACTTGTTATAAACTTCGGCAAGAAAGGTCTATTCGCTGCAGGCACTAAAGCGAATTTTGGTTTCTTCAGTTTCGGCTAATTTTTTGAGCACCATTCGCTAGATTGTTGGATAGTTTAGACGTCATATTCATAAACTTAAGTCTTGTCACCAGTAAAGATGTGTTTGATGATTGTTGGGTCCTCAGCAACGTTGTCAAGCATCTCTTTTGCGACCTCGACTCGACTTCGTTTGTCAGGACTTTTGGTACAAGTCTAGTATTTTCACGCATACCCAAAACATTAACCAAAATGGGTTGAGTCGATTTTTAAGAAATATTGAGATCCTCTGCCATATCTTTCATGCATTTACAGCATTGCTCCTTTAACTTTTACGATGCTATCATCATTAACACAGGTAGATGGACAACTAGCATGGGGCAAGTTTTCGATGCCTTCACGACCTTCACTGACAGCTTCGTGCCACTCAAATACTTTTGTTGGTGATAAAGTAGAGTGCTCAAAACACTTTGCTACATTTACAATAAAAAGTTTCACGCGAAGTCATTGTTCAATCTTGCTTTTTGATGATAGAAGTCGTTGGACAAACAGTTTGCATCGTAAACACACACTAATAGACGTAAAGAGATCAAACTTAACACGAACATAAACAAAGGTTGTACCAATCTAAGTCAAATCCAGTCCGGGATATATTTGATCAGATTACCTAATTTATGACGGTTACCAATAAATTATTTCACTTACAGCCGCTCCTACTGACAAACAAACGGTACAGGCTTAAATGTAATAAAGTTTTATTGACTTTCACAAGCCATACTTGTTTCCTAATTTTGTAATATAAGTCTCTAACTTCAAAAAATTGTATTACGAACTTTCCGAATGTTTCTTTTAAGACTCTAACCTCAAAAAGGGTTTAATAACAATATTGATGTTTCCACACCTATTTTTTTACTCACTACAGGGTAACATGAAAGGCAAGCATTTGACGCGCAGCCACGCCATGCGTGAGGCCACATCGCCGCCGCGCACTCCGACACCTCGTGCCGAGCACGGACAGGTGTCACCGAATGGTCAATCGTCTAACAATTACCAGCAACAGCATCATCATCAGGCGCAGCAGCAACAGCAACAGCATATGGATGGCAATGAGAATACACACAATAATAATAGCAATAGCAGCAATAATAATAATAACAACAACAGCAACAGCAACAAATTGCATGCACAATCAAATGCGGCGCGTGGCAATTCACCGATAATCGAAGCGCCTGCCGTCATAGTGACCAGCCAACATAGCCAGCAACAACAGCAGCTCCATCAGCAGCAACAACAACCGAACGTTGCGCTGTGCAATGAAGCTGAGTTCCCCAAACTGACACCACCGAAATCGACTAAAGGTGCTGGTGGCGGGGGAGGCATCGCTGCTGGCGGCGGCCAAAGAAACAGCAATAATAATAACAACAACAATAGCAATAATAGCAACGGTGTAACCGATGGCAACAACAAACTGGAATATAACAACAACAATGGCAGAAAAATTGCAAACAGCAACGCTAACGGCGGCGGCGGCGGCAGTACGTCCAGCCAATATGATTCGGCCAAAAGCGCGGCCACAAACAATAACAACAACAGCAACAACAAACATCAGCAATACAATGCAAGCAACGCACTGCATCAGGCGTTGAGCGTAGGCGAGAGCGCGGGGCGTGGCGGTGGCAGTGGTGGTGGCGGTGTTGTTAGCACAACGCTACACAATTCCGGCATGAACTATCAGCTAAACGCCAACGATAGTCAGCAGCAGTCGCATCACCAGATCGCCTACGACAAGGAGAATCGCTGCCCACGCAATGATAGCCAGAATAGCAGCATATCGAATATGCATGATGATGATCAACAACAACAACAGCAACAGCAGCAGCAGCATTATGAGCGACAGGGCGGCGGCAGCGGTGGAGGCGGCGGTGGCGGCAAGAAACACCGCACCAATTCCAATTCAAAAGGCAATAAGCCGCGTTTGAAGAATATTGGTGGCTCCTCATCGGGCAGCGTTGACGGCGGCAATTCGATTAGCAACAATACATCGGGATTCATATCAAGAGGTGCGTAACGGGAATGTATTTAATCAATTTAATCTATTCATAATTTTTAGTTTTCAACAACTCAGAGAACTCGAGCGAGCAATTCACAGATCATGGTGGTACCGATTTGTTCAGTTTCTTCAAAGAGACGCTCAATAAGCATCCAAAGGATCGACATTTTCTGCTCAAAGTGGAAAAAGACCTAACGGAATTCGTGTTGGAAAAAAGGTGACTTAGTCAAATCGCTTCTTATAAATATATATAAATTTAATTCCTTCACACAGTCGCGGTGAGTTGCGCTTCCCACCGGCTTCATCGTACAACCGCATGTTGATACATCGCACAGCGGCCTTCTTCGGCATGGAACACAATGTCGACACCGAAACGCAACAGTGCGTTATTGTGGCAGCAACCAAAAACACGCGCATACCAGAGGTAAGCCTAGAAAACAATACCGTTATTACATACGCTCAGTAATTGCTCCCGCTTGCAGATACGCTTCAAGTCGCTGGTGCGCGATCATCGCGACGACACACGCAAATCCATACTGAAACGCGATACGCACAGTTTCGATGAGGCGCGTCAAAGCAGCTACTTATGTCCCGATCGCGGCAGCATGCTCGACCGCAAAGCAAAGAGCTTTGAGGAGCGTGAGGAGGATTATGAGCGCGCGCGCAGTCGCATTTTCAATCGTAGTCAAAATGACAGCGGCGAGGCCATGGATGATGGCTACATGAATGTCAGCTGGACGCAATCAGTGGAACAACAACAACAACAGCAGCAGCAGCAGCAACCACAACATCGTCCACGTCCCAATGGCAAGATGATGAAGATGCAAAATGTAAAATGAGAAAACTTTTTGCCTCAGTAATTCCATTCAATTAACAGTTTTTTGATTTCTCTGCAGTCAAACGAACCACGTGATGGTCGTGCCGGTGGCGGCGCAGTTCCCAAATCACACAACTACAATAATTATGGCGGTGGTTCGTCTCAAAGCGGTGGACCGCCTATGATGCGCGGCGACTCAGCAAACTCGGGAAAAAATGGCGGTGGTGGCGCGCGTTCCTTCTCCAAACAGGATTCGGCTGGCAGTACAAATACGCCATGGCGTCTGTCACCATCCAGCAGCGGGTAAGTTCAATACTCGCGCCGTATGGAGTTAGAGTTTCGCTTATATTAAAAGTTCAATTTCAAAGCTTTCAAGCTCCATACTCTATAGTTCTAAAATTTAATTAAATATTTAAATTTCTTTACTACATTATTATGATTATTATTATTACCAATATTATTATTGTATTATATTGTATGATATATTGCAACTATAACAACAACTGCCACAACAACAATCTTAGTTATAAAACTCAAACACAATCGTTGTATTCCGATTCGGTAACACCTTCACCAAATGGTTATTGTAGTGAGGATCAAGCCACGGAGCCGTACATATTAACAACGGACAGAATGACAGTGTGTCATCTGCAATCGCCAGTTCACCATATACCGCCACATCTGCATCTACAACCGACGTTATTATGCGGTGCTGGCGTTATGACGCCGCATTGCGCTGACGCTGCGTTGACACCAACGCCGACGCCATCAATGGAAGACGGCGTGCCGCTGCCCGGTCATGGTCTGGTGTGGGCCGTAACCGACATTACGAGTGTGCCCAAGGGCAGCGTGCTAATCAATCCGCAAACATTGCAACCTTTTGTTAACCAAGACGGGTAATTTACAAAACAAAACAAAATTTGAAGATTTTAAAGTTTTTTTTTTTAATTATACCATATTAATCCTACTGTGCAAGAAGGAATGTTCGTGGTCGCACAATCACAGTCGAAATTTAACTCGTAATTGAATGCAGAATTACAGCAGCTTGTATATGTATCGCTAGCTACATCCCTGTTTACATTTTTTTTTTGGAAATTTTCGAACAAATTAGTGTCTTATTGACATTCATAGCTTACTAACGGAAATGCATCATCTCATTTGAATTGTTCCCAATATTTTGGTAGTTTTCGGCCTGCAAAAATTCGATATGTGGAGAACTACATATATACAGAACATACAGAAAGATATTGATAGTGATCGGATCGTTTTTCTACGAGTAATCACTCAAGCAGATTTCAAAAATGTAGTTTTGAGAAAAGGGGTTTAAAAATAAACTGAAGGAGCTGATTGAACTGAGCGATTACACTCAAAACTATTTGTGGTATCGATATAAAATTTTAGCATGTTATTTCTTAAGGTTAATCTACCGAAATATGAAAACAAGTTAATTTTTTAAAATTCAAAATATTTTTGCTCATATTTTTTTAAATGATCTGCAGCTAAATATATTCAGGAGTCGACTGAAGATTCGCAGAGGAATTATAAAAAATATTAAATTTTTGAGTAATAAATATCGAAGTTTTTAGAAGTTTTCATTTTCGAAATTCCTGTTCGGTTAATTATTCTAATTTAGTATTATGCATTTACTTAATTAAGGAATTTCACAATATCTGCGAAAAATAGATCAAAAAAGTTTAAAAAATTATTTCAAATCCACTGTGATTGTGTGTCAGCATTCTGTTGAATATGTAAAGTTTGCAAAATGTTCTCAGCTTATGCGCACGCTACACTCATAACAGCATTTTAGAAAGTTCTAAATAAACGCTATTCATACGCATTGTGTAAATATACATAGGTGCATCCTTTTAATTTCTAACATATCGAAAAAGTGATCAGTCCATATATGAGATTTATGTGGAATAAGCTATTGTGCGGCTATATCTAACGAAAGATGCGTGAGAAGCGAATAATACAGTTAAAATAAGACAAAATCATTGAAAACTTTTGACAGCCTAGTTAAACTCTGGTTGCTTATACAGCAAATATTTAAAAGTAATTTTACTAATTATTCTTTCGTTGTGTTTTAAAAATCTTTCGACTTTGCGATACGCTTGTTTTTACAAAATAACAGGCATTCTGCAAATATAATGTTTTGCTGAAATAGCATTTCTTGACTTGACACTTTTTTCGAAATCACATTTATTCACGTTCATATTTCAAAGTTTTTTGTCAGATTTTGTCGTTGTCTTTATTCAATATACTACACTATACGGCAAAAACGACCTTTTCTGGGTATTGCACCAAATTAATTTTTTTTTCGAGAGATTAAGTGATAAGAAAAAAATTAATTTCGAAATATAAAATTTTTGTTTTTTGAAGTTCCAGATCTCATATAATAATCATGAATCTCATGAAATAAGGCGATGGCAAATATTTTGATTTTGGACGCTAACTATGGATATAATCTCTCAAAAAAAATTTGGTTTGGTCCAATAGCCAGCCGAAAGTTGTACAGTGTTATTGTTATAGTTTCGTTTAATTGATGGAAGACTTTTTTGTTCTCTGTGAACTTCGAAACTACTCTGTATACGTGTTCTCATTATTTTATTAAATTTTTTTCATGACCTATAAAGCTTATCATCCACACATGCCACACTGCTTCTAAACATTTTGCAAACTCTATATTAAAACTCATTTCTGCTCTGCCGAAATTAATTTGCATAAACTCTTAGCTACACTTGATATGCTGAAATTGTTTTCGTAAATTATCTGCCAATAACAACAATAATAAAAATTAATCTCAGAGTCAACACCAACGCATCAATATCATCCTAACTGTGCAAGCACTCGGCAACGCTTCAGACAGACTGCAGCATATATTTTTTTTGTTAATTTAATTGTTATAAATAATACTACAAATTTATAATAAAAATTAGTTAATTATATTAAACTACATTAATTTAGTTGTAATCCATTTTTTGTAAATATTTGCCTTATATAAGGCCGTCTTTTGTGTATATGTTAAAAAAAAAATTTTTAATTGGTGGCATCATCAAAAAAGCGCACACATTCGCATTTACTGTAGAAAAAAATTAAAATGTATTTTACAACTTTTGTTGACAAGAGAAATGTAATGAAGAGATATTTTAAAGAAATAAAGTTAACTGATTGTGTAATTAAGTTTCCGAATGTAAATACATTTTAATTTTATATTATATTTGTATTCATAACAGTATTTATTTGTGTTAGTTGGCCTCGCAAGCACCGCTACAACTTCTCGTCTTTGTCAAATATATATGTATTTGTTTATATGTATGTGCAATAGTCAGAAAAAATTAATCTAAGCTGTGCAAAAATTCATTAAAAAAATTGTGTAATTGTGTAAAATTTAAGTTTTCGAAATCATTTACACTGCTTTTTAAGCTTTTTACCAGTACATAACCTCTTTAACAGTACCTAACCTATATTTAATATTCTCTTGTAGTTCAATTTATCACTTTGACCCGTCCAATCTGCCACCCAACCAACAGGCCACATACCATCCAAATCAGGGTAATAACACCGCCAACTATGCACAACAACAATCGCCGCAACAGTTGCCACAACAACAACAACAACAAGTGCAGGATAGCACTACAAAGAAGAATAAAAGCACACAACAAATGTCCACACCATCACCAGCAGAATCGCCAGCAGCTACGCCAACGCCACAAACGCAGACGCATTGCAAGAGCGTTGCCTGCAATGAAAACGCTGCCACCATACCATTAGCCGAGTCTGTGGCTGAATCCTCCACACAAACGGTGGCCATGTGCGGCGATGTCAACTGCGACGACATGGGCTTGGAAATGGCGATCAACGCCACCGAAGGTAAGCGAGTTCGCGAGGTGGTAAAACACGAAACAAAATTTCTATATACTTTTTCAGAAGCATCCACTCAATCGGGTGCTGATGAATGTGACAACACTTCGACCACGGGTTGTTTGAGCATCACCACCACAACTTCCACCAAAAGTTATGACCGAATTGAAGTGCAAAAGTTCAAAAACCAAGCCACGAGCCCGAATATACCAGCGGAAAAGGATGAGCTGCCGAAGCGTGAGGTAGGCCAATAAAAGAAATTGCTTAAAATTTACATATAACATTTCCCTTTACCTTCATACTACAGAATACAACCACTTTGGATGCGCCAAGTGTGCGTGAACAGCAGCCGGTAACGGTAACACAGCCACCAGCACAACCACCACCACCCAGTCAAACGCCAACGAGTAGCGTAAACGTGCAGTTACACCGTGAGACGCCACATTCTGCGCGCTCAACTCCCTTCAGTAACAGCGAGTCGACACATGCGAAAAATCGCGCTTCCGAAGAACCTAAACCCACAACGTGGACATACACGCAAAGCTACCAGGCACCCGATGGTTCCACAGTCTTTCACACCACCACCACACCAAGTGGTACGCCGTACTGCACCACGACATATCAGCAAGGGGTAAGCGCGAATTTTGTAGCTTAATTGTAACTGTAAAACTGATTATGTTGACATATATTTATTACTCTACAGCCTGATGGTAGCGTTTATGCCATTCCACAAGGCATGGTCTATGCCTATCCACCGCCAGTTGTAAGCCACGCCCCACAGAAACAGTTGAAATGTCAATTCAATTCGTTGTCTGTTTTACAGGAGGGCGAAGTGCAGAGCTATTTTATGCCTGTATTTGATCCAAATCAACCGCGCACCGATGCCACCGGTCTTATACCAGCTGGAGCACAGGCCATATATCAGCCTGCACCCGCAGCAGGCAGTACAGCTACAATGGTACCCGTCGCAGCCGCCTATCCGACCGCACAATTCGCCACGGCCAACGGTACGCCTATCTACCCAGGTCAATTGATATATTCAAGTGATCAATTTGTAACGGGCGCAGCAACAGTCGCTGCCGCAGCACCGGCGAATGGTCAACTGCAACAGATACCGATGACCACCTATCCAATCGGACATCCATATGGCTATAATAGTAAGTGTTGATATATATTGATGAAGCTAATGGTTATTGTAAAGGAATATGTGGCTGTAGAGATAACAGTACATGTAAAGCAAAGCTGTTACACTTTTACTGCGAAATAAAAGCATAACTTTCATCATAATATCAGGAGCATGTAACATAAAAATATTTATTTATAAATTTACTTTCAGGCTACTGGGGTCAACCGATGACATACTACGTGCCACAGCAAGCGCTTACGAACGCTGTCGCAGCAACGCCACTCCTACCAGCACCGCCACAGCCACAACCCCCTACAACAGCAACCGCCCAACCCGTGGCCGGACCACACATCACTAGCGGTATCAACATCGCTAATGGCCTTGTAGCAGCTACGGCGGCGGCTGGACCGTCGTCGAACAACACCGTTGGGGCTTTAGGCAGTGGCAATGTTGGCGTTAGTGGCCATCACGTTGTTAACACCACGGCAGCCACGAACAGCTATCAAACACACAGCGGTACAACGTATTTCGGTACGGGGCGTGTAAAGCGGCCGACATCTTCGCATTACACTAATCATCAGAGCAGCGGTCATCAGCTGGTAACGGCAGCCATCCCAAGCAACGGCAGTGCAACTACCACATATCAATTGGGACACGCAGTCCCCACACTCACGCTGGCGCCGGCACCAGGTAGTGCAGCAGCCGCAGCGGCAGCTGCAGCAGCAGCAGTAGCTGTGAATACAACAACCGATCTCAACGTTGGCAATGGAGCGGCTCCAGCCACAGCCATGTATACGCTGCCTCAACATGCGGCCCTACTGCATGCGAACATCTTTCCCTATGCGCCTGCCACTGCTGCGGCCGCTGGCACACCACCAGTGCACGCACCTGGCGCCCCACCAACGGTTGCGCCACAAATAGCTGCGGCCGGCATGGCTGGCGCTGCAGCTCATGCACAACAAACAAATGCTGTGATCACACCATTCTATGCTCATCACCCGCCCATTACAGCTGCCGCACATCCCACACACGGCAGCTCCACCGTACACACGCCTGGACCAGCTGCCATACCGATTGTCGACCCCAGCACACTGACGGCCATCTCGCATCCAACACCAACCGGTGCAAACAGTTCAAACAATGTGACGCCCGCCTACAGCGGCGGTGGTAGCGCTTCACAGTCAGCGCCCAGCACGCCACACTCTGTACCTACTCAAACCGCACAGCGCAATCCGCCACTCTTCTCCACACCGCCCATCATGAACTCAAATGGCGGCAACAACAATGGTGGCTACAGTGGCAGTTCCACACCGCAATACTATACTGTCAGCGGCGGTGCAGATGGTGGCGCAACGCTTATAAGCAGTCCACATGGCCACTCGTACGTGCAACACGAAAAGCGCAACAACAATTCGAATATGAGTGGCAGCAAAAAACCGCCAGCGTATCCAAGCAATTCATTGAGTCGTCAGAGCTCAACGTCCTACAATGGCACCGCAAATGGCAAACCACCTTTATTGGGCGGCAATAACGATACGCGTGCCTCACCGAATAGTGGCTACCAAGGCTCGCGTCCACATGGCATGAATAAACGCGGTGGCGGCGGTGATAAGCCACAAACGCCATTGCTCAGCGGTCCACCCAGTTACGGCAGCGGACCGAGCATGTCTGCCGTAAACAGCAACAACAGCGGATACCACGTACACCACAGCAACTCACCATCTGATGCCAAGCCACCAATTCGCTTGAATGCCGGCGCAGCCACATTCCGTCAGAAGGGCAGCGGTGGTGGTGTCGCCTTTGAATACAGGCGCAGCGCTTCACAACGCAATTCACCAGGCACTGGCAACTCCAGCAGCAACGACAATAGCAACAATACATCGCCGAATAGTATAGTCGGTTCAAGTGGCGGTGGTGGTGCTAACACGCCCAATTGCTATGCCGCCCCAGCAACAAGCGGCTACATAAACGCTGGCATCGGCATAGCCAGCGGCGGTATGGTCGGTGGTGGTGATCATCAGACAGTTGCGACTGCTACTGGCACACCACTGTACATTACACCAGCGCGTGGCGCACACATTCCACCACAACTGCAACACGGCGGTATGGTGGCGGCCGCCGCTGCTGCTGGCGGCACGGCAGCCGGTCTCGCGGGCACTCAACAAGCCACCACAGCAGCGGTGTTAGGTGGTGCTGCTGCGGCGGAGGTGGCGAATGCGGCTGCTGCCGCCGTGGCGGCGACCGTCGCGCATCACCAGCCGTTATTGAGCGCTTATCAACCAGGTGCATCGGGTGTCTACATAAAATACGGCCAAACGTATTATGCACATGTAAGTTAATACGGAGAAATAAGTACCGAATTCTGCGCATCCGTTAGTTAGTGATTTACGAAAAGAAGAGTCAATTTAGAAAATCATTATAAAGGTTTTTGAGGATAGGATACATTGGAAGAATTTGTGTGTATGGAAAGGTTTAATCTGCTTAGTTGTATAGCAATTTTTTTTTGACGAGATATCTTCACGAACTACTGCGTAAGGCAATGCTATCTAAATTCTTTAGATCGGAGCACTATAGCATATAGCTGGCTTATATACTGAGGGATCAGAATCTAGTAGTTGTAAGAAAAACTTTTTTATTTGACAAATATCTGCACGAAATTGTTGAAATCGGACATATATAGCATAGTCATACAAACCGACCGATCAAAATAAAGTTTTTGTATGGAAAGCTCCTTACTATATCAATCTTTTTTTTTTCCTACTTTCAGCCCTCAGTTGCCCTACCGAATAGTCGTCGATCGCCCTCGACCGAGTTGCGGCCTGCAATGGCGCCCGTAGCTGGCATGTATCCAACCATGATGATACCAGGTAACCTAACCATTTATATTTAATGTCGAAATGAAATCAAAACTTTCAAAACTAAAAATATATATATATATTTCAGCTGCTCCACGGCACACGCAAGGACGTCATCCGAATCCAAACTACAAAGGCAACCGGCCACGCTAGACACAGCGCTGAAGGCAAGAAACTGTCACAACAACAGAAAAAAAGCAGAAAATCAGTGCAAGCATGGTGGCCAACGCTGCAAGCTGCTGAACTGGAGGGATATATGAAAACGATGACGCTATACCAAAACCTAAAAATAAGTTTAAGCTAAAAAAAAAGTACCCTAACCTAGTAAAACATATGCGTAGATAAACAATAATTTAAACATAAATGAGCATATTAGTGAAAAACAAAGACATAAAACAAAGTAATATACATACAGTAGCAGCAATTATGAAAGGGAATAGGAAACTAAAAATCGGCAATTCATGACTACACATACAACAACAAAATGAAAGATAGCTGCAATAAAACATAAAAGCGAAATTTTGAAAAATATTTTCCGGGCCATTTTACAAAAAGCAAACAAAACAAAATCGAAAACAATCACATACACAATTTTGGCATACATATACAAAGAGGAAATTTTCGAAAAGTAACACAAAAAGACAAACTTCAATAACAAATAGCCAATTCAAAAGCATTGCATCATACAAACTAAGAATCTTCCACAAGCATAACGGTAAAGAATTCGAAATGGAGTACATCGTATACTGAAATATGTCGTGCCATTGCTGAAAGATGCAAAAAATATATTAAAAAATACATACATACATACATAGATAAAAGGAAAAACGATTACAAAGTAAAAACACGAAATCATAGCTAAAAACAAAAACAAAAAAAGAAAATGAAAATGACACACATAAAAAGAGACTGACTTAAGTTGCAAATTGGCAGCGCGCGTTCTTTCGGTCTTTCGAGGGGAGTGTGTGTAGGGTGAATTTAAGCGTGAAGAACTTCAAATTTGCACATATGATTTTCAAAACAAAAAAAAAATATATAATTATTTTTTCATGTCCAAACTCTGTTTCGTTATATTATTTTTATTTTTGCTATATTTTATATCTTGTAAATGGATTAATATTAATTTTTTTTGTTTTTTTTTTTGATTTCGTTAAATTCGAAAGTAAAATTTAACTTTGCTCACAGCATGTCCTTAAAAAGTAAACAAAAATCCCTTAAAAATTACTTGAATTTTAAGTTTTTGAAATAATACTAATCGCAGATTTCCCAAACGCATCCAATACACGAAGGCAACCGAGTGTGCATGCACTGTAAACGACGCCAATACAACTGCAGCAGTCAGTCAAACAGTCAGTGTCTTTTTAAACAATATATATTCATTTATATATACACGATAAAGTAATAATAATTTTATAGTATGTAAACAATTTTACTATACATAATAATAATCCTAAAGGTAGAATTATATAAAAGAAGAAGCAGTGTAAACACCTAGTAAATAATGAAAGACGAAAACGTGTACTAAATTAAACTTAAAACGAAGCAAAAAACTGTAATTCATAAATCTGCATTCATAGCATATATGTATGTACATAAATCGGCTGACTATTACTACTATTACTACACACACACACACCACAAACAAAATTCACAATTTTCTACGACACACTCAAACAAATCAAAATCGAAACCTTCTATTAAAAACCATTGAATTAAATTTGCAAAATATTAAAATCAATACTTCACCACAACTACAGCGCAGTACAGGGTGCGTGCATAGCCTGTACAAGTAGTGCGTGGGCGTTGTCTGTAACGGTTTGTAAGTTGTACGAAAGCTTTAATAAATGTACAGTAAACGCGTTGAGAACAATAAATTCGATTCAAAACAAAATTACTAGCTTATAGATTGTTTTCTAACTAAAAATATATTATTATTAAGAATTTTACACATCTGGCAAATGGGAAACGAAAAAAACGTAAACTTTGAAAGTTATATTTATTAAATTAAAAAAAAAAATGTATGCAAATTCTAAAAATGTTTCATAGTTTCGAAAACAAAAATTGGTATACTATATTTAGAATAACTGCCGCCCGCATGGGTAACGTCTGCCAAATTTTAAACGCCCGAAAGTGCGCTGCGGATGTGGAAACAATTGTTTTTTGTTTTGCTTTATTGTTTTGTATTTTTTTTTTGTAATATTTTTTGTAATTTTTTTTGTAATTTTTTTTTGTAATTTTTTTTGTTGATGTTAATGAAATTTTTGACTTGACTGCCTTGGTAGATTTTTTTTTTACTTTAACAACAACAATTGGCAACACAGACTACAATAACTCGACAGCTACACATACTCGTATAGTTTACTACATAAGCTATATACTTTATTTATATTAATTAAAATTACATATACATAAATAATTATTTAATATATAATACATACATATATACGAAAGTATATGAAAAAAGAAACAAAACAACAGAAATACAATGAAAGTCCAATATTAGTGAATATGTTATTATTATTTATGTTTATTGCTATGAAATTTATTTAAATAAACTATTAATATTGGAAAACAAATACCAACACTTGATAATTAAATTAAATTATACCAAAATGTGAAAAAGTTAAAAGTTAGGCAGTTTCGAAGCAATTGACATTTTCTACGCTTAATCAGGTTGTTTTACTGCATTACATACTATCTATATTGAAGCAATCAGAAAAATTTGTAGGAACGCTAGTGTTGTGATTTATTTTTTCGTGTTCTAGCCACTTGACAACAATAAATACTTAATTTATTGATTTCTTAACGGTTTGCCTCGAGAAATTTTAAATTTTTTTCAATTAGTTTGAAATATATATATATATATGTAAATTAGCTCTTTTGTCATTATATTTTTATGGCACTATAGTTCAGTTTTTCAACACTCTGAATTTCTTTCATAATTAAAAAAAAAAAATTACATAAAAGGAAAAATAAAATCTCGAATTCCATCAAACTGAAATACTCATTTTTCCATCAGTAAGATTTTTCTTAAATACGCAAACTTCTATAATCTTTTCCTTTCGCAATTCAAAATCATCTCATTAGCCTAAAGTTACCGCTTTATTGTTTGCATTTGTAATGCATGGAAAGCAATACATATTTTTCAGACGCAAAACAAGAGCAAAAAATCTTGACAAAATGCTGTGAAGAGGAGAAATAATTTTAAGAATGTTAAAAAACATCATTTTCCTTACTATTTTTTCCTTTTGTTTTTGCATTTCGTCGGCATTTATGGTTTAAAAAAACTCGTCAATGATAGTTTTCTTACACAACCTGGAAACTGTTTGAAATTGAAAAAATAATGCAGCATACTTTTAGGCGCCTTTTCGAAATTTGTTTCCTATGCACACATATTTAAGCTCTTTTCATTCATTCAAATATTTCGCAGAGCAATGAAAAATTTAAAATCTTAAAAATTAAAGACTTGGAAAATAAATGTAAAAGTTTATATATTTTCGAACTAAAAAAAAGATAAGATACTCAACAAATTCTATTTTCCACATATTTTATTGACTAGCAGACTCTTCAATATTTTTCAATAATTTGTTAGTAAAGTGCATTATTATCAGGGTTGCAAATTATGTATTAAACAATTTTTGAATTAGCATTTAAATCATAATTTTTTTTTTTGTAATCCCGAAAATCGTATTTGAAAATAAATTTTTAGTTTTGTAATCCCAAATGCCGAATAAAAAACTTTTTTTTACAAATACCGAATTGAAGTCCAAATACCGGATTGAAAAATTAAAAACAAAGTTAATCCCAAGTTTGTAATTAAAAAAAAATATTTTTGAATCTTAATTTTTTCGCGCTTGTGTATTTCATGTGCTACAATTTTGAGCACACAGCCATCATATTTCATACTCTAGAGCAGGGATCGGCAAACTTACACATCCAAAAAATTAATTTTTTGGTTCTGGCTTTTAGATTAAAAATTGAACATATAATTAAAATTTAATTTTTAGTCCCGATTTTGTAATTAAAAATTAAAAAAATTCCTAATAAATTTTAAATTTTTAATCCCAACATTTTTAGATATTTTATTAAAAAAATTTGAATTGAAAGTGTAATTTTCAATTGTCAGTTCCGTTCAGTTCAGTTAATTCTGTTTAAAAAAAAAATTGGATTACAAATATAATTTTATATTTTCTGTTCCAATTCGGAGCCGATATTTCCAATTTTGCATTTAAAATTCAAATTTAATCCAGACATTTTCAAATTGAAATGTATTATTTGTAATCTCAAATCGGCATTGAATGTTGAAAGTTTAATTTTTAATACAAATTTTTCTAAAATTTATTAATTAAAAAGTTCTTAGCCCTGCTTAACATATAAACAAATAGTAAATTATTTATAGTTTAAAAAAATTAAGCACAATACCTTGTATTTTCAATATTTTCCAAATTGAGGCTGCTAATTTAAATAACATTAACGTATACAAAGTTATAATGTTTAAATTGATAAAAATCAGAGCTGAAAATCGTTTTCTTAAACTCATATTTTTAATCAATTTTAATTTCAGTTATATATAATACTTCGCACAAACAATCGACTTTTGATTTCCCAAAACCTAGAATGCATTAAATCACGCTTCTGTTACGCAATACGCATTCCAAATCCTCCATAAATTAGTGTATAATGTATATATGTATGCATTGCACATAATATTTGTATGTCTAAATGTAAATACAATAATTTACATACTCGTACAATTATCTACAAGCCAAGTACATATGTAGTATATGTTAATAAATATATAGTAAAAATGTATGTATGTACAATATTAGATGGAATCAACGCGAAATGTATGGAAAGTATACAAGAGCATACTAGTGGAACGCATTCACATAGCCAGAGATACAAAAAATAAAGAAACAAAAAAATAAGATACATCAGTTATTAATATCATATGAACAAAAGTAACAAAAGCAACAAAAAACAAAATTCCATAATGATTTTAACTCTTATATGAAAATTGTAGAATAGAACATAATACAGCATACATATTTGAAGTCAATAAATCATATGTGGAACGTAAGCTTACCGAATTTCTAACTAATGAACAATACATAACAGTACACACATTTTTCTCCATAATCTTCAATTATCTACTGTAACTTCTACTTCTAAACAATTTACGATTCTTATGACAATTTGCCATACAAACTACGAGCAATACAAAAATTAGCAACAGCAAAATGTTAATGAGTAAGTCAGCGAGAGCGATAGTGAGAAAGAAAGAGAATAAAACCGAAACGAATCAAAATGCAACCATAGCCAATTTTAAGTTACCGTTAAAACAATAACTAAAACCAATATTGGCAGTGAAAACGAAGAAAATATCACAAATTATAGGGATCTTATGCCTTCGACACCCTGAGGGCCTTCCACAAAGTAACCAAACAAAAAACTGCCTATCCACACAAAATGGATGGATGCTGACGGAAGTTTCAATAAAATGGCAGTGATTGTTACACACACACACACACACACAAACCAATGAGACACAGACGCACACGCTACCTATACATATGAGTATGTGTGGCTGTGTGTATCTATGTATGTGACTACGCGTCAAGTTACTACTAAATACTCAAACCGAAATAAATATTCCACACTGTTAGCACTTTTCTGTTTTTGTTCTCGTTAATTATCTAAAATTTTCTGTTAATTAATTAAACTTGCTATCTAACTAACAAAAATTAAATAATAAACCTAAATATTGTAGCTATTGAATAAGTTATTAAGTGATTGATGAATGTATGTATATTTAGATGGTTATTTAGGATGGTGGACGCAGGAGAGATGTGATGAAGCAAGAAAGTGAAAATGTGGAAGGATAAAAGTATTATAAATAAATTATTATCAAGGCAAAGGCAAGTAAAGGAAGAAAACGGTGGACTTATACACACATATACATATGAGTACATACTTACGTATATAAGAACCTAAATCAAGTATATACACATAATTACATAACAGCAATATACTTAAAACTAAATAGAGACGCAAACAAATCGGTGAGAAATCATAATAAAATACAAGAAAACTATTGTGAGAAATAAAGGGAATCATCTCATTAGAGCATAATGAGAAATAAAACTTAATAACAGTATATGGAAATAAAATAAACTGAAAATAATAATGATAGTGAAGAGGTATGCAATTAAAGCTATTCATAATGCAAACAAAAAACAAAAACAAAAAAAAACTTATAATGACAATTAATTATAAAAAGGTAAATATTATTACGTAAAAAAAATAAAAAAAACAAAAAAAAATATCTAAAAAATATTGAACATAATGTAATTATTTATTTTAATTTATATACACTAGAGAGATAAAAATATATATACATATTAATTAAGTGAATTTTAAATTGCGTTTAATTTCTTTTTGTTACAAAAATATAACTCCTAATTAAACCTTGAACAGGGTACTACGAAATTTGTAACAGCCAGAAGGAAACGTCGGAGACCCAAAAAAATAAATGCCTGACGTACTGAGTCGTTTTAGACATATTCGTATGTCTGTATATACGTGAACTAGTTGAGATATTGATCTGAAAGTGTGCACACGTTCTTTTCTCCACAAGAAGCTGCTCATTTTTCGGAACCGCCGATATCGGAACACTATAGCATATATGAAATCGCTGTACAAATTTTAACAGAAGTGTTTCCCGAAGAACTTGTTCTGATTTAATCATAAGTCTACTCAAGTAATAATAGGGAAACACTTGCAAATAACGTTCACTGTTCCGTTAAGTTAAGTATGCTATAAAAAGATTTACATTTGTATATTTTCCATTAGAAAATTCGAGTCTAAAAACCACGCACGATTTCCAAATTACAGTACCCACCATAGACACTCTGATAATGCTCTGATTTTTACAAAACTCCCCAGAGTACCAAGGAGTATGTGTGCGAAGTTTCATCCAGATACCTCAGCAAACGACAGTAAGAGATTCAGAATTCAACTTGCCTCGTCATCCTGATCATTTTAATATAAATAATAATAAGGATAATACAGATATTTGTATGTGCATCAATGAAACTGACACAATCTACTTTGAGGTGAAATTTCATAATTTGAATGAGGATTTCGTGTAGACCAGTGTTACTTCTCACAAAACGTCATT